AGGGTTTGGGGGCCAACCTGAGCAAGAGCCAGGCGCAGACGTGGACCAGAATTGATGGCAGCAATGCCCCAAAAGAACGTGGGTACCACTCATTGGTTTTGGACCCGCAGCAGCGGCTGTGGGTCTTTGGTGGGTACAGTCAAGGCCTCAGCTTTTTGCAGACGCTCCTATTGCCATTACTACTACTATTGCTATGGATTATTACCATAATTGCAATATTTACCATTATTAGTATGTGTACTGTCATTATTGTTATTATTATTATTGTATTTTTTTGTATATTTTTTAATTCTTGACAAGTCAAACAAGCGGACAGCTTGGGCCCAACACCCAGCTCACTAGCAATGGTAGCAATAGAAATGATAGTAATCATAATAGTAAATCATTGTTGCAATAGTAACACTAGCAATAGAAATAATAGTAATCATAATAGTCATAAGTCATTGTAGCAATAGTAATAGTAGCATTTTCATCATCATACGAATAAAGATAATGAGGACATGGAATCCCGCAAGACTTGGGCGACCTGCACTATTTTGACATCAAGGCGTCCTGCCAAGACCGTTGCCGAGGAAAATCTAGCAGCAGATGCACCATGCTGTCTCAAAGAATGTAGCCATCATCTAAGCATCATCCCATCTGAACCACCGGGGTTGTGATCTCCCAATATAACCCTTAGCCCCAATTTAGCCCGAATATAACCTTAATATAACCTTAATGTAGCCCTAATATAACCCTAATATAGCCCAATATAGCCCTAATATACCCCTAATATAACCCCAATATAGCCCTAACATAACCCCAATATAACCATAATATAACCTTCATGTAAGCCTAATATAACCCTAATATAGCCCCAATATAGCCCTAATATACCCCTTAATATATCCCTAATATAACCCCAATATAACCTTAATATAACCTTAATGTAAGCCTAATATAACCCTAACATAACCCTAATATACCCCTAAACCCTATAGAATATAGGTTGTGGTTTTAGCCTGGGCTGTGAGAACCTCCAGGCGTCCAATTGGACCCGGGTAGTCGCAGCCAACGCCCCTGCAGCGCGCTGGGGGCACGCAGTGCAGATGGACGATCACCTGAGGAATTTGCTCTTCATTATTATCATGGGTTAGGGTTTAGGGTATTTCTAATATTCGTATTATGATGGTCGTTAATATTATGAATTTGCACATTTTTGATATTGTTATCTCATGTGGGTGAGGAATTTTGCTCTCATGTGGGTCTTCGGGGGTGCCTTCACCACCAGCGGCCAGGGCCTCGACGCGCTAAGCACAGTGCAATGCTTGCATAGGGGTATGCTGGTTCGAGGTCCTGACCCTGCAATGGCAAGACTGAACGACTTGTACTATTTTGATGTCCAGGCTCAGTGCATGCACGTATTTTTTCCTTTGTTTTTGTAGCACATGTCAGCAGCAGATTCAATCTTGGCTGTCTTGTGTTGGCATTGCTCTGAGGTTTGCCGTTGCAAGACTTGTTAGATGGAATGCCCAGTAGGATGAGTGAGTAACGCAAGTTCTCGCGAATGCATGAGCAAGCATCAAATATGGCCAGACAGCAAACCATGTTTGCTGTTAGTTTTCATAGCATAAAGCCATGCTTGTTGATAGGTATACTAGTAATAAAAACAATAGTAGTAATACTAGTAATAGTAAAAATGACAACAAAAGTAACAATGATGACAAGAGTAGTTTTAATCGCAATAAGAGTAATATTAATAGTAATAATATAGAAGCGACTGAGGGTGGTATGTCACGTTCAGGCAAGGATGTGGACGAAAGTCGAGGCCAAGGATCCGCCATTGGGACGCTGCGATCACTCGGCCACCATGGACGGGTACAAGCGGCTCTGGGTCTTTGGAGGCTACGGAAGTCGCTTGGAAACCAGAATATAAACCCCTAAACCCCTATATAACCCCATCATAACCCCTAAACCCCTATAGAACCCAATATAACTCCAAGACCACCCCATAATTGAGAATATAATGGAGAATCCAATGGAAAAGAGAATGGAAAACAACCTGGAAACTGGGATTATTATGGGTAATGTAGGAGTTCTATGGTGCGTACCTTCAGGATTGGATCTTATCATGCAGCAGAATGCGCTAACGCCACTGCAAACCTAGGTGCTGGAAGGTTGAATGACCTCTATTTCCTTGACACAGAGGCCATCTTCGTAAGTTTGGTGGTCCGGTAATCAGTGTGCTGTGTCTGACCCCAATATTATCCCAATCTTACCCTAATATGACACCAATAGTACACTAACATGACCCCAAGAGTACCCTAACATGACCCTAATGGTACTCTAGCATGACCCGAATATAATCCCAATACTACCACCCTAAACCCTAAACCCTAAGCCCCTAAACCCCAATATTCCTCAGTGTTGAAGCTCTTTTGCAGGAGCGTTCCTGGACCCAGGTCGATGCTCCAGACCCGCCCTCTGCACGGTGGCTGGCTTGCTGTCAAGGAACTTGAATTAAGTTATCATAATGGGTATACAGTTACATATATACATATATATATATTCTATTACTTAATATGGTTCCCCAATATAGTAAATGAGTTATCATAATGGGTATACATGTCTATATATATATATGTATTTTCTTTGCAGTAGTTAGTATGGCCCCCCAATATAGTAACTTAAATTCGGTTCAGAAACAACAACCCAGGTGGTGTCACGCAGCCGGGATGGACCAGGAGCTACGGCTTTGGATCTTCGGCGGCCTGGACACCGGCGGCCGCCTCAGCAGCTCTGATTCGTGGTTCTTGTGGATAATGGAAGATCAAATGTGCTGTAGTCTAAACTCCTTAAACGGGGGTTACATAGGGGACTATATAGGGGACTATTATAGGGGTTATTCTGAGGGTTATTAAGAGTGATACTAGGAGTTTAGACTATAGTTCAAATGGAAACTACATCTTATAATAGGGTATCTATGAGGCTTATATTGGGGCCATCTTGGGGACATGGTATGATATAATAGGGTATATGTAGGGGTTTTGCTGGAGGCTCTGCAAGACGAGATTTGGGAGATTTGCATTACTTCGATACCAAGAAGTATTTCGTCGGCTCCCAGGCCTTCTTTTGCTCTCTATCCCCCTGCGGATAAGGTTTAGGGTTTAGGGTTTAGGGTTTGGGGTTTAGGGGTTTAGGGGTTATATGGTTTAGGGTTTTAGGGTTTTAGGGTTTTAGGGTTTAGGGGTTTAGGGGTTAAGGGTTTATTTGGTTTAGGGTTTTAGGGTTTAGGGGTTTAGGGGTTTAGGGTTTAGGGACTGTTTGGCCAGGCTCCGCTCCTGCCGAAGCTGGGCTTCCTGTCTACGAACATCAACGAAACTGAGGCTCTGGTGGCAGTGAAAGCGCGTAGGGATACATATTGGGGTTATACAAGGTTCAGGGTTTAGGGTTTAGGGGTTATATAGGGAGAATGGAAAGAACATGGAAACTACAGGGGATTATTGGGATTATGGATCTAAATATATTTTCCCCCACATTTTGAGAAGGGTTCGAAGTGCATGCCGTGCGGCAGCCAAGGAACCGAATGCCCGAACCAGCTTGGCCGAACTCGCCGATGCTCCAGAGGGCAACCACCATTTTTCCTCCATGTTGCGTTGCGCTTGCTCAGCTGTTTTTCTGCTTCTGTTTTCTCAAAGGTTGTTGAAGCCAGGATTTATTCCTATTCCCTCTATAACCCCTTTAAAGGGACCCCTAATATACTATGGTAGTTTCCATTTTCTTTTCCATTATTCCCTATACCCCATGATACCCTATACTCCCTATATCCTTCTAAGATGTCCAGGCTGATGGTTGGCCTTGGTCTTGCTGTGATGACCGTGTGCATGATCATCGGCGGCATTGCGCTGTGGCGCCATCGCGTTCGAAAAAGTGGAGGCCAGAGATAAAGCATGACATGAGAACTTGCCATGATGCTGGGAATTGCTTTATTATTGCTATTCTTCTTATTAGAACTACTATTACTACTATTACTATAACTCTTATTTCTATGAAGAGGCTTAGGGTGTTAGGGTGTATGGACTAGAAGATGTAAAATGAAATGGAAACGGGGGGAGTTTAAGGATATATACTATATCCTAAACCCTAAACCCTAAGCCCATTTTTCTTACTGCTTGCAGCTTTTTCTGTTGTTGGACAGTCTTTTTGTCCAGTGGACAGAATGAAAGCCGAGGGAGCTTTGTGCTTGTTGCCATTGAAATGTTTTCGCATTGTAAACGGGAACCAACAACTATTTTGAATGTTTGACTACTTCCTACCTTCATCAGCCTCTCTACCAACTGCATTGTTCGAGCTGTGTCAATCCCTTCAATCGCTCTTCTGTTGCGTCGCGCAGGACTTGCAGAAGTTGGTTGGAGTGGTCCGGCAAATGGGCCCATCGCCTTCTCTTGGCATGCCAGGAGAGAGCTTATGCTTCACTTAGCCATCGGCTCTTGTTGCACCACGCTCAGTTGCAAAACAATTTGCATCGATTGCCCAGCTGACAAAGATAATTTTTCTGCGACCTCCAGGGACCAGAGGTGGGCAGTTCTTTATTGGACTATAATGGGTTATATAGGGACTACTATAAGGATCCATTCCATAGGGTTATAAAGGCTTCTATAGGGTTATATAGGGATAATGGATGCACCCTACACTCTTTGTCACGTATAGGCTTTGCTGTGCTCGTGTGATGACTTCCCCATGCGGCAAAGCAATGCTGTGTTTTCTGGGTGCAAAAATGGGCCACATTAAGATAGACTTGCAATGTTCTTGCTCTTGTTCATCCATCAAAGGATCCCGAAGCATTAGACCTGCGGTTACAATGTTTGTTGACGTACAGATGGTATATAAACCCCAAAATTATATAGTCCCACCCTAAACCCTGAACCCTAAACCCTAAACCCCAAACCCTAAACCGCAAACCCTAAACCCCTGGTATCCGAAATGTTTCTTGCGAGTTTGCGAAAACAAAGCTCCAGCAGGATGACGGCAGAATGGCCCCGTGGAAAGGTCGTGAATGTTGCTGTATCTTGGCAGGGCAGAGAGAGGTTTAGGGTTTAGGGTTTGGGGTTTGGGGTTTAGGGTTTGGGGTTTAGGGTGTTAACTATTCGGGAATCCTAAACCCTGCACCCGCTGGAAATTCAGGTGGAGGGCGAGATGTTTGAGGCGAACGGGCGAAGACATCTTCTTCACGGTGATTGCAAGGAATTTTCTTGGGACGATGGAACAATACAGACGGTGCAGAGTATTGAAAAGATTCTATGCTCCAATGAGTTGGAACTTGGTTTGTTTGCCGAGACAATACAAGGTAGTTTTCCAGAAGTCCCAATATAGACCCAAAAAGACTCTAGTCCTTATTATGGGCACCCCCAACATGGTACCCCTAATTTTGAGAAACTCCCACAAAGGTTTGAGTCTACCCTAAACCCTAAACCCTTAACTGTGTGCTGCTAAGCAAGGAACGTGGTCTCGTGGACTACGAGCCATCCGAACCCTGCCTGGCAGCAGCTGAGGCTGGGGACATGTAAGGGATTATACTAGGGTTTAGGGTTTAGGGTTTAGGGGGTTTAGGGTTTAGGGATAATATATAGGGTTTAGGGTCTAGGGTTTAGGGGGTTTAGGGTTTAGGGATAATATGTAGGGTTTAGGGTCTAGGGTTTAGGGGGTTTAGGGTTTAGGGATAATATATAGGGTTTAGGGTCTAGGGTTTAGGGGGTTTAGGGTGTAGGGATAATATATAGGGTTTAGGGTTTAGGGGGTTTAGGGTTTAGGGATAATATATAGGGTTTAGGGTTTTGGGGTTTAGGGGGTTTAGGGTGTAGGGATAATATATAGGGTTTAGGGTTTAGGGGGTTTAGGGTTTAGGGATACTATATAGGGTTTAGGGTTTTGGGGTTTAGGGGGTTTAGGGTTTAGGGATAATATATAGGGTTTAGGGTTTAGGGGGTTTAGGGTTTAGGGATAATATATAGGGTTTAGGGTTTAGGGTGTAG